CTGCAATATGCAGATGATACAACCTTGCTTGCTGAAAATGAAGAGGACTTTAAACATTTACTGATGAATATAAAAGACACAACCCTTGAGATGGGTTGTAGCTCAATATAAAGCAAACAAAAGTCCTCACCACTGGACCAATAAACAACATTCTTATCAAGGGAGAAAATATTGAAGTTGTCAAGGACTTCATTTTTCTTGGATCAATCATCAACACTCATGGAAGCAGCAGCCAAGAAATCAAACAACATATTGCACAAGCAAATCTGCTGCACATGACCTTTTTAAGGTGTTGAAGAGCAAATATGTCAGTTTGAGGACTAAGGTGCCCCTGATTCAAACCATGGTACTTTCAATAACCTCATATACATGCAAATGTTGGACAGTGAATAAGGAAGATCATAGAAGAATTGATGCATTTGAGTTATGGTGTTGGAGGAGAATATTGAAAGTACTACTGGCTGTCATAAGAATAAACAGATCTGTGTTGAAAGTACAGCCAGAGTACACCTTGGATATATTTCAGAAGGGACCAGTCACTGCAGAGGGATATCACTTTTGATAAGGTGGAGGGTCAGAGAAAAGAGGAAGACCACCAGCGAGAAGTACTTGCAAAGTGGCAGCATCAATGGGCTCAAGCGTGGCAACAATTGTGAGGTTACCCAGGACCAGGAAGTATTTTGTTCTGTTGTACATAGGGTCACTATGGGTAGTGACTCGATGGCACCTAACAACATCTGCTTATACATAATAAGATTATAAGATAAGCCCATATGAATCTCGATTGTAAATATTGTAGAAATATCAGGCACAGAAAAGATATCTTGTCTGATCTTTAAACAAAACGAGTAACTATGCTTTTTATTCTCAGAAAAACTAGTTTGTATTCTCTTGTAGTTACATTTTCTGATGTGGCAATATAGGATAAGCACAGGACCTCTTATCAAAAGATCAATGATCCAAACCCACCAGCCACTCTTTGAAACCAATGTGGTATGGCTGAGTCAGAACTGACTCAACAGTTCTGGATTCCAACAACAACAACAAAAGAATCAGCTTAGGGCCGTATATGTGGACCAAGTCTAGAAAACTAGAATCTTTTCATATATTTCTTTTGAGTAAAAGTTTTCCTCAAACCTTCTAAATGTTCTTCTGATGAGTGTATTGTAACCATCCCCCAACTCCCTGGACTCCTGAGCACATTGGCCCCGTGCATTGTTGCAAAGTGATCTTCCTGAAGGTGCTACTAAGGTTCTGACACGTCCCTGAAGCACATTAATGGCATCCAACCCAAAACACCTGGAGTTCTCATTCCATCTCTCAGGTTCTTCTGGCCTTATCATAAGTACCTATGAGTGATGGACCCTTAACAATTGCTACCTCATAAAACCAGTTGAGCAAGAAATCTTCAAGAATATGGTATGTGCACATTTCTTGAAACTATATTTCCTGCTTTAATCAAAACAAAACTGTTCATCTCATCTCTGGATATGAGCTTTGGAAGGGTACATCTTCACAAACAGAAGTAGAAGGAAGATGGACTGCATGGAGTCTTGAGAGAGCAGAGACATGACTTTTTTTTTTTTTTTTCCTTCATTCTCACACTGACTTACAGAGCGTTGTTTTATTAGCCAATTTAGGCAAGTTGACAGGCACATGCTCAAGATGGTTTTAGAGGCAAATGATGCTGAATATTGATCTCTCCATGAGAGAGAAAAGAATCTCTACCATGTTCTCCTGTGGCCTTCCAATTAATGAAACACTCTGTGTGTTAAACAGGAAAAGGTCTCAGTGCTTGGCATTCAGTGAATAGAATTATTAGCTATATTTGTTGTTGTTTTATTTATACTCATAGCAGGAGTCTTGGTATGGGATTCTGGGAGAGAGCACCTACCTTCCATGATGAAAATGATACAATAAAGTCTACGGTACAGCTGCAAACCATTTGCTCATGTTATTTACACCACTATTAATGTACTGTTATTCTTAGAAAAGCAGGATGATGCAATGAATGACAAGGTCAGCAGTTCAAACTCACCAGCCACTCCTCAGAAACCCTACACAAGGCTGCTATATGAGTCAGCTCTGACTCACTGGCACTTAACAACAGCAACCGCCAGAGTTTCTAAGTGAACAATTTGAGGTTTGAATCTACCTCCTAAGAATGACCTGTCAATCTGATTCTGAAAATGTAGCCATTGACAACCTTATGGAGCACAGGTATACGCCACATACATGGGGTACCATGAAGTCTAGTCAGCTCACTCAATGGTACATAATTTGATTTGTGGTTTGGCGATTACTACTATATAAGGAGCTCTGGTAGCGTAGTGGTTACGAATCGGGCTGTGAACCTTAAGGTCAGCGGTTCGAAACTACCAGCTGCTCCGCTGGAGAAAGATGAGGCTTTCTAATCCCGTAAAGATTTACACCCTCGGAAACCCTATACATGGTCGCTATGGGTCGGAACTGACTCGATGGCACATAACAACAACAACTATATCAGGACATGAACAGAGATCCTGACATGACTCCTTTCT